GGGAGGGGGGAAGGTAATGAAACCGGTACGATGTGCTTAGGGTACTTAACCAATACTACAGACATACGCCTGTACCATGGTCAACCAGCTGAAGCTGAAAAGTCGGTCAGTATCTGTATGCTTGTAGCCAGGACTAGGTGCAGAGTATGAAACCACATATATAAGAGGGGAAAGGGAGAGGTTAAGGGACAGGCAAACACAAATTGTTTTAAAACTGTCAGGAAGAAAACAAAAGAATGTGCCAGGCATGCAGAGAAAGGAGGAGAAGGAAGGTGAGGCGGAGAACCCTACTTTATTGTTCGGTCTTTGGCACCAGAAATTAACAATGGCGCATGAGGATGGAAGTCCACATCGTTGATTGGCTGATATTACAGATCCGATGGACAGCAAAAGACGAAAGCCAAAAGCGCACAGGCATCGAAGTTAGTGCACACATCCTCGTCCCTGCCGCGGCAGCTGAATGGCACGCTTGTGTAACTTTTGACAAACAGATCACCACAACTCCTGCTGGATAGAGCCTCCCGCTTATACAGTATAAACAACATTAGGGGCTGAACCTTCTCAAGAAAGAAAAGGAAGACAGCACATCCACACATCCAACAGAACAGAAAGAGGAGTCAAATACTATCATGAGTTGACTGATTAGTCAGGACTCATGACTCATGAGTCATGAGACATGTTAGGAAATTCCCTTTTTCGTTACCTCCGCCCTTGTCCCTCTTACTTTGCTGCTTTCACTTCCATGAAGTCCGGACAAGCCAAGCTTTGGAGCTTTCATTTGCAAATCCAAGGCTGCAAGGAAAGTTTAGGATATGGGGGGAAAGGGGGTGCCTTTAGTCTAAATTTTTATTTTTATTTTATTTTATTCTAGTCTTCGATTGGATAAGGAGTTCTGAGGTGACTCTCAGCCAGTTTTTTTTTTTTACATTGTTATTCTAAACAACTTCTTTTCCCCAGAATTCCTCCCCCCCCCCCCCCCCCCCCCTTTTCTTTTGCACTAGGGCTGCCCAGATCCCTGTCCTCTCAGGGTGTGCGTCTGGGCACCACTTGGTGGTCTGTGTGCACGGATTTTCTTCATACGGCTGAGAGGCATTTGCAGGGAATACCAAGGAGCAGGGTGCAATAAGACTCGTTTTCTTCCTTGCCCAGCATGCACGAAAACAGATGGCAATCACCCTGGCACCAGGCGCCCTCACAAAACTCAGAGATATCACGGACAAGAACACAATTCAGATTCAAATTACTTCAAAAATGGCTATGGCGCCTGTGCATTTTCCACTCTATTTTTAAGGAGGAGGGGGGGGGGGGAAGGGGAGGGAGGGGGCTTAGCAAATAACTAAGCCTAGAAAGCACCCAACAGAGACAGCAACTAACTAATGCCCAACATGGATTTAAATTTTAAAATTTTAAATAGCTGGGAGTGAGACTATGATTCCACCTCACCAATGGCTGATGAAAAAAAACATTGAAAAGACTGATAAATGGACGGATGAATGGATGGATGGATGGATGGATGGACGGATGGAAGGATGCACATTACACCTGCAAGTGGTCGTAAAATATACGCAGCACTGGGCGAATCTGCGTTGCCGTCTCCGGTGCTGAAGGCCCTGCATCAACTACTGTCTTCATCTTTTCCACCTGGCAACAAACAAAAGTCGAACGAGGAAAGAATAAACAGCAGATAAGAAATTAAGAATTCCCCTCAAAAATATACCACAGAAACTGTCAGAAAGTGTAAAGAGCAAGAAAAGAATGAACAGCACATAAGAATTACCCACCCCATCTGGCTAGATGGTACATGCTTGTGAACTCTAGGCAAACAGATCATAAAGCTAGAATCCTAATGGATATAAATCATATAATTATTATTATAACATTATAAAATCATATAATAATATTAGGGCCTACACATCTTTCCGAAAAAAAAAAAAAAAAAAAAAAAAAAAAAAAAAAAAAAAAAAAAAAAAAAAAAAAAAAAAAAAAGCATAGGGCATATCAAAGTTTAGGAGTTTCCCCAAACAAAAAGGTGTCAGACTTTTGGGCATATCAGAATCAACGACAACAACATCACAGCTTGCCTAACTGATGTTTGCACTCCGTTGAACAAAGTCACTCTGAAATTATTCTCCAAGCGGTAGTGACAGTTACAGAAACCGTTTCGCCACCTGCCGCCACATGCAATGTCCGCAACAGGGTAGTAAGATCAGGTTCCCAGCTCCCCGGAAACGAAAGCATGAACCCATCCCAAACCAACACTGGAGTGATGACGGCTGGACTTTACTCGATTGTTTCACAGCCAGCAGCGAATGGAGTGGCTATGCACACAATCACAAACGCAAGGAACAGCGTAGAGGTGACCGTTAACGGCTTAATCGCTTCTCATATGTCTGCACATCCACCAACGCGGCTCAGCTCAAACATAAAACATGATCGAAATTTTCGACTCTCATAAGAACTTTCCATATCATCCCCCCTGCATTGTTTGTTTGCAAAATTTTCGACGACATTGCTTGTGGTGATGCGGCAAAAAAAACCCGAATTTTGGGGCTTCCATTAATCATCTCTCTCCCTACTGCCCTTCAATCAGTGACAGCAACCTTTCCAGCCCCTTCCCCTCCTGCCCAACAGCAGCCAGGCAAAATTTGTGCGCAAAACGCCACTTCGGCAGCAAGTGTACCTTCACGATTTACTAATTCTCGATTAGGCCGAGAAAGAAAGAACCGAAATACCCCAACACTGAACCCACTGAACGGCCTTCTGAGTGACACAATTCTCTTACTGGTGGAGTTTTCTCCCAAAGTGGGCCCCGACTAAAATGCATAAGAAACCCACATCCATAACCAAGTCGAACCCATACACGCAATGTGACGAATAAATATCCTTGAAGGGTAAGCACAAAAGGATGACAGCAATACTTACATTCAAAATCGACACCTACAACTGTGAGACTGTAGGAAAAACTCAACCAGGAGAGAGGAGAAATGGACAACGAGACGGGGGATTGTGACACATTGTCTCGCCCGACTTCCACCGACTCATCAGGAGGTCGAACCCTCGGCAGTCTGTATAGTCTCCTGAGTCCTAACTGATGCTACTGCAAGCGACAATCCGCCTTAACCCCAGCTGCAGATGGACAGCAGCCACTTTCCCACAACCTGTGCCCCTACATGGGCACCACCCAGTGAAGGGGTTGAGCTTAGACTGGTAGAGAGGGACCACAGAGAGCAGAGAACTATTCTTGCTGTTGTATATAGCTTCTTACGAGGCAAGAAGAGGGCTTTTCATCATCATCAAAAGGCTTCAGCATTGTCACTTCTTGTCCTCGTGCGACCGTCGCTTTGTCATTTCTGCTGCTAATTGCTTGCTTGCCATACGCAAGCTGGTAACGAGTGCTCTTGTGCTCCAGTGCAGTCTTTCCAGAGGTATTGTCTCAGTCACACTACTTACCTCCAATATCTTTATTGATGTGTCTGCACTTCCAGTGGCTACTAGACGACCATCCGGACTGAAACGGGCACAACGACAAACATTCTGCAAAAGGAAAATATCCAAAGCATTTTTTTCAAAATCCATCGCACACAAGAATGCCAATACTGATCAGCAACGGAAACCAAAGACGACATGTGTTTTTTTCAAAAATCAATAACTGACATTTCGTTAAAAGTTAAAACTGACATTTTCTCCAAAATTCACGAAAGTGGACTTCATCAAAATTTCATTGCTATTGGGTGAGAAAGCGGTCATCTCACTTTGACCATCTGATGTATCTCAACGTAAAGTACAGTCAAAATACATCTGAGGGTCCAATCATCGGGCTTCGTCACGATACCCAACCATCTGATAGTCCAACGTCATGGGGACAAAAAACGCTAAACAATCCTGTTTTTTTTCATACACAGCACTACACACTAAATTTCGTGAATTTAGAAAAAAATTGTCAGTTTTAACGAAATGTCAGTTCAGTGGGATGGCAATGCTTAATTGCTTTTCCTTTTCTTCATATTGTGAGGGCCTCAGATACTTAACCAGAACAGAAATTTTTCAAAAAAAACTATAAGAATGGAGAGGGTTTCTGAAGCATAATGTTAAGCCAGGCCAAATGCAGAATGTGAAAGTCGCAACAAGGATGCAGGGAGGGGAAGAAGCGGCCGTGGGAGGCAAGGACGG